AAAAAAAAAAAAAAAAGAAGATACACCCTGGAATGTGGTTTGTTCCCAGTAATATGAAACATTTAAAGAATGGTTAAATGATCACTTGACAGTTATATTATAAACAGGAATAAGACAGCCTGAGTTAAACATCATTACTTTGAGAAGATAAACGTTAATGTCATTTTCAGTCTTTAAAATCTTTGGTTTTATTTGGAAAAAAAAAATCCTCAATCTTAAAAAGATCATAGCAAAAAAAAAAAAAAAAAAAAGAAGAAGAAAAGGATTATAGTCCTTTTGCTTTTTCAAATAATAAGCTTGGAAATGTATTCTTAAGAATGTCAATGTAGTGTGGTATATTAAGAATTGACTTTCATATGCTGGCTAAGTTTAGAGAGATTACGTTTCAAGAGAAAATATTTTTTGAATTTTAATGGTGTATGTTTATTTAAATCTAATTTTCTATTCTGTTTTGGGAAACAGTTGTTTGTGTCTTTTAGTGTATTCTCCTTCCTGTCCACATATGTGGAACCTGCCTATTCTCTTCTCTTTTGAAATAGTTTAAAAGACTCAAAGAGAATGGCCTGGGCTTTGCATATCCTTAGTCTGATAGACATTTCCCTGGCTGCTCACTTAGACAGATACTAGCAGCTAACTAAGTAAACTATGTCTCTTGGCAGCCAGAAATTAACAAAGGCTTAAAAATTAGCAAAATCTCTGTTTTTTGTGGCCTTATGTGCTCACAGTCTTATCTTAAAGACAAAAAATCTGAATTATATAGATTAAAATTAACTTTGGCAAAAATTAAAATGGAGGCAGGGATTTTTTTTTTTCAACAACAGAAACTAGCAAAAGCAAAGCTACAGTAAAAATAGAAAATTTCCAGTGTAGAGATATAAATATAATAACTGACACAGCCAGGGATGATTAATGAATAATAAAATGTTTAGGGGATGATCATCTGAATACAGGATATGAATACTTTTAAAAACCATTTATTTTTTCAATTACTTCGGCATAAATAATGTGTCTCTGAAAGGTACAGATCTGGCATCACGATCATGGTGATAGACAAATGGTGGAACAGTCCTGGTACCACGATCACGGTGATAGACAAATGGTGGAACAGTCCTGGTACCACGATCACGGTGATAGACACACGGGACCTGCTCTGCCTGCAGATGTGTGAGGTGGCATTGATCCTGCAATGTTCCCGGAAAAACATTTAGGCTGATTTTAATCATGAGGACGTTTTCAGGCAACTTCAGAGCGTAGACCATGGATCCAGAGAGCTGACCTGTCCTCTACAAACAAGCCCATGTCACCACCATCAACAACAACAACAAAAAGGTGAGGAGACGCTTTGGGTTCAAAAGAACTAAAGAAATGTAGCTACAGTACCTTTTTACTCTTTTTCAACCCAAAATGTCTCTTCTCCTTTTAGTTGTGTGATTTGTGGTGACATGGGCTATCTGAAGCAGACAGGTCAGTCGTGCTGCTCACTGTTCTACATTCTGAAGTTGTCTGGCGATTACCTCAGGCTATGAAACTCAGGCTAAGTGTTTTCAGCAAGAACATGGTGTTGTTCATACTCTGCACTGGCAGAGTCCCATGTGACATGTTGTCTTAGTGTGGGAATATGACCCCTATCCAGGAGACCAGGTGAAGCTTTATCAGCTACATAATAAGAAACCTACTGTCCTTGTCCAAATTCAAGCAAACATGCTCTTCTACAAATAAAAAAATGGCATATGTGTAAGCCTGGCATGGGTCATAAAACTCAAGATAAGCTGCATACATTGAATACAACATATCCAGTGAGTACCAGAAGACTTCAGGCTCTCTCTTCTGCTTCCATCAGCTCCAGGCTGAGCCTAAAAAAGGAGAAAAAAACTAAAGAATAAGTCAGGGAAAATGAGACATTGTAGAGCCCCAACTAGATTTCATGGGTAGCACAAGAAAGTGGTTAATAAAAAAAAAACATAGATCCATTAATAACGTAACAAACTATTGCCTTATGCTGGGATGGACGAGAGTAGGGTAAAAAAGAATGAGAAAGAAAGAGAGAGAGAGAGAGAGAGAAAGTAAGCTCAGTGAACTGTCCAGGTGACACACTGATGAGGGAGTAAAAGGACACTCTGAATTAGTGCCCTCAGGACACACAGTGTACACTGATCCTAAAAACAAGTATGGTCAACCTACAGCAGTTAGTAAACACTAAGGGGAGGAAGAAACGGAAACCTAAATATCTACTGCAATGAAAGCCAACAGCAATGTTAGTAGGAATAATTCAGGCTTCGTTGAAAAGATGGTATCGATATTGTCAGCCCACTCTGTTTTCCCTGGACCTGGCGTCTCCAGGTGTCAACACAAAATTAGCTGTTCACAATTGCTCAGAGTTACCTGGGGCATGGTGGGCCTTGGTCTTCTCCCTCTTCTTGGTCCTTTTTAACCTCTGCAATAAATTCAGACAGGGACAGACAAAATAAGCTATTCCCCTACACCCATAACAGTCCACTGTCTAATCCCTGCACAGGGACCTTAGGCTCCTCAGCATGAGAACCGGATAATGTGAGAGATGGACTTCAGGAGGTCTCAAGGCCAAGCATGATAGAGATTCCTTGGTTTGTGTCTCAGAACCAATGGTGAAACATCCCTATTCTGGCAGACCATTATCCCTTTATCCCAAGTTTGTACAAACAGGAAAGAACCTCATAGACCTGCTTGGAAAACAAAACTCATGAGGAACTTGGTAGCTGGCAAGAGACATTTAATTCAGATTGACAGACATTCAATTCAATTGACAGCGCATGGACATGCACTGCATAGCTTGGTGCGAGTTGGCAACACCTGCTTTGGGTTTCAATGTCCTGAAAGTCAGCCCAGGGTGCGACGGGCATGGCCTGAGACTAGAGAGAGAGCAAAGCTCACTGACCCACCCCGTGTCCGTGCTTCAGACCGAAATCCAGAGTGACTGAAATCTACACTAATGGGTAGGTTCAGCCCACAGTGATGACAACTCTCAGCCCGGCCAGGGGAGCAAGGCCCGAAGACTATGGGGTCTATCTGGGACACAAATTGGAGCTTTATCAACTTCACAATGGAGTACTCACTGCTATGTCAACAGTCAAGTCAAGTTTCTGCTCCTCTAATAAGTGCAAGTTGCTCCTGTAAGACTCACTGGAGGCAGATGTGCCAGGAGGAACTGAGAGAGTCGAAGAACCTTCATCCCAGGACTCCTCAGGGGCTTCGTCCTCCACAGACTCCTGCAGACTCCTGATGAGCCAGGTAGGACAGGATGACAGAAGATGAAACCAACAGAGATTAGACAACAAAGTCTCCCAGGTGATCTGATAGAAGTCGGAATGGAGTGGTCACAGAAAGCAAAGGCATTTTTCCTTCAATTTAAAAAAAAAAAAAAAAAAAAAACTATCCTTCTAAATGCAGGGTGGAGGGTGACTACCCTGGAGACAGAGCACAAATGAGCAGCAGGTGCTCAGTGCATTTGCCACAGATGAGCCATTGCAGGCCACCCAGACTCTTCCTGTAAACGATCATCATGACTTGCAGCACGAGAACTAACACGGGGCTTCAACTACCTCGCATAAGTTGTGTTGAATTTTACATGTGGCATTCAAGTGAACAGAGCTCCTGAGGCATTTCAGACACCCAGATCTTGTGTATTAAGGGCCTCCCGTTTCCAATATCTTGATATAATATGTATATTTTTTGAATATCTTCTCCTAGCAAACATGCTAACAACAAATGGGCAGAAAGCATATCTGCATCTCTCCCTGGGTTTAAACACATGGGGGAGAACAGATGAAACCAGGAAATCCCTGTTTGCTGAGTTCACCTGGCTCATCTGATTGCAAGTTCCCATCTTGGGAGGAGTGAGAAATTAAAGCCTATACAAGTGCCACAAATCACCCACAAAATTGTCAATAAGGACAATTTGTAGCTGGTGAAGGGAAGAAAGAGTTCTAGTCATCACTTCCTCGTTTTCCCAGGATCTGCAGTCTCCAGGTGTCACTACTGAACTAACAGCCCACAAGTCCACAGCATTACCTGGGGGGCACTGGCCCTCTTTCTTCCTCTTCCTCATCATCACTTTGACTGTCTGTAAATAAATTCAGAGACGCAGGTCACATTAAGCAAATCACACTTCACATATGACCAAATCAGTGTTTAGTCATAGCACAAGCACAGAAATATTCTCAGGGCAAGAATACAAATTCTGACGGGACTATTCCAGGGTGCCCTAGATGAAGCCTGGGGAGTAGATGAGCCTGCTTTCCAGACACACAGGCCAAAATCTCCCTCTACGGGTAGACCATAATGCCATATTCTCTGCCTGAGTCTATGCAAAGTTAAACCAAATTTTTTCCCAGAAAACCTCCAAAGACTAGTCAAACTATTTTCTGAGATTGTTGCTGCAATACTGACTTATCTGACCAGGTAACAAGGTCACTGAATGGTTAGAGGCATCTATACATGAAACTGGACAATATGTACGTTCTAACAACACTTGCTTTAAAAAGAATCTATGAGCTTTGTGCAGTGGCAGTATCGTAGCCAATGAGGTTTATCCGAGACCTGGTTTTTGCTAATTGAAATCCTTTCTCAATACCCCACTCTGACGACTTGCATTACAGTCGGCACTGGCAATTTTAAAGTCTTTAGGGAGACTGAATTAAAAAAGACAAAACGAAAACAAGCAAAAAGAATCTGTGGGCTGGGCATGGTGGTTCACGCCTGGAATTGCAGCACTCTGAAAGGCCGAGGTGAGCACTTCACGAGGTCAGGAGATCGGGACCATCCTGACTAACACAATTAAAGCCTGTCTCTACTGAAAATACAAAGAAATTAGCTGGGCATGGTGGCACATGCCTGTAGTCTCAGCTACTCGGGAGGCTGAGACAGCAGAATCATCTGAACCCAGGAGGCGGAGGTTGCAGTGAGCTGAGATCGTGCAACTGAACTCCAGCCTGAATAACAGAGCGAGATTTTGTCTCCAAACAACAACAACAACAAAAACAACAACAAATCTGTGATTTCAGAGGACAAGGTGGGTGAACGATTTAAGGTCAGGAGTTCAAGACCAGCCTGGCCAATATGGTGAAACCTCGTCTCTACTAAAAATACAAAAAGTAGCTAGGTGTGGTGGGGGGCACCTGTGGTCCCAGCTACTCAGGAGGCAGAGGCAGGAGAAACACTGGAATCCAGGAAGTGGAGACTGCAGTAAGCCAAGATGGTGCCATTGCACTCCAGCCTGGGTGACAAAAGGAGACTCCATCTCAACAACAACAACAACAAGAAACAATATGTGATGCTACGAAGAAACATCAGATCGGCCATTGCATGGATGGGGTGGAGAGCTGGGCTGAGCCTTGCTTTATGGAAACATAACAGCAAGGTAAAGAGGAAATGTTTTTTCCTGGTTTCAAGGTGACTATGCAGCTAAGCAAGCTGACTTAATAGAGATCAAGACTGAAGCTCAGAGCAGTGAAACCTGGGGAACAATCTCTCCAAATAAATAGGCAAGGCTCCCAGTTTCCTTAAAAAGAAATAGAAACTCCATGGACATCGTTCAGGGACAGATGACATAATTACAGGTGATGAGAGATACCGAATCAGTGCTAGGAGACCTGACAGACACCTCCTGCACTCAGGTGACCATGAGTTTGTCACACTGGCCTGGGGTCTGGTAACTTGATTCTTGGGCCTGGGAGACAAACGCATGGCATGTGCTGAGGAAGAGATAAAAATTCCCTGATATCTGTGTTTAGTATCCCATCATACATTTTTATTCAAACCAATTTGTGTATAGAGCCTGTCTTCAGAGTTGATCTTCCTCAGCCTAGACAGAGGTACCAAAAACCAGGAATGTAGAGGTCACCTGAAACAATGATTAGAGCATCCTCCACCACATCATGAGATGATTCACTCTCTACAACCAGGGCAGAGTCAATGTTGTCTTCCTCAAATGTGATTTCACTGGTGTCTCTGTGAGGCTGGCTGGAGTCAGTAGGGCCATAGCTATTTGAACGAGTGATGACACATTCCTCCGGTGAGTCTTCAGGGACTCTCTTGACTTCAATCTTCTGCACCTCCCTGATGAGCCAGATGGGATAGAGATGACAGAAGATTAAACAAAGAGGGATTGGACCCCAGGAAGTCCTGGCTGGTTTTCACAGGAGGAATCAGAGAGGGGTCTCAGAAGGCAAATGGGAGGTTCCCTTTGAGAGGAAACAGGCAATCCTCCTCTCTGCAACAGAGCATGGCTGCCATGGGAACCAGAGAGAAAGACTGCAGCTGGTATTCATTACACTGGGCATAAAGGAGCCGAGAAGAAAAGAGACTCAATTATCCCTGTAAAATTCAGACACGGCATGCAGCACATACAAAGAACCACAACAGCTGCCACACCCTGTGTCTAAGTTGGGTTGAACTGAACATATTGTGGCCAAGGGAATGCAGGCTTTTTGCCCATGGTAGACACAAGAGACGGTGTGCTTCTGGACCTTTATCACATTTTACTACCATTACTTGCTCCTGATTATTCAGTATTACCTGGGGGCACGTGATTCCTGTATGTTCTCAGCCTCTGTAAGTTTAACATCTTCATCCTCATCTTTGTCGTTTTCTGCAAGTACAGATGTGTTTGTTCAGATATTTCCCATTTCACTCTGCAAGGACAGTCAGCCCAATGTGTGCAGGAACATGAACATCTGTGTATGGGTCCCTGTTCTACTGAAAGCTCTCATGTTTTCTCTTTAACAGAATGCCCTGGCATGATTTCCTGATCCACCAGGCAATGCATTTCTGATCCGGAGGCTCACCGTCAAGATGAGGCCAAATGTTGAAAAGACCTTCTGCTCCCACATCACTGGAGGCTTGTGCAGTCTCTCTCTGGACTTTGACAGCTCTCTCCCCCATCCTGACACAGATCTGATTCCAAGCGACAGGCTTGGTGTCCTGCCACAGTTCACATTTACAACCTATTTCTTTCTCTTAGAAGAGGACAAACAAACTTGTCCCACCATCCTCTGCACATCAGGTGACTTCACAGGCCCTCCAAGTGGCTTCTGCTATGTTATTCAGGGACATTCTCTCCACGGAGAGTGCTCCAGTCTGAACCACTTCCTACCACCAAATGCCCACACATCAACTGCTTTCTCCAACACCACATAGCGAGGGGCTTTATCTCATTGTGATAAGCGGTCATAAGTGTTGGCACATTTGAATTCTTCAGACACTGCAAGATGTCTGCGTTTGCAGATGGAGAGAGAGAATTTAGCCTGCCTTTGCAGATGGAGACAGAGAAAGTCAGGAAGGAGAAATCAATTGTTCACTGACAGTTCCCAAGAACACTGCTGAAGATACAGCCTGGGAACCTTCATTCTTACTCCAGAGCTCTTTCCACTCCAATAACCACCCTCCTGTCACAGCTTCCTTCCTGTCCTTTACAACTGCAGAGATGCTGCCTCTTGTTCCAAAGACCACCTTCCATCATGGAAGGAGGGACATTTGCAATATTGTGACCTCCAACCCCATGGGTTTCCCATCTCTGTCTCATTCAGAGAGTCCTGGTCATGTCATGGCCACATATGTTTAGTGGGAGAAAACACCACTGATAAAACTGTCATTGTGGAAGTATGGAGGTCTGCAGTCTCTCATAAGGCCATAAAGGAAATATGCACAAAGACAAATAAAATTTCTTTTATGTTAGAAATGGTAGAATGAAGAACTAATAGACAGTGTTTACTCTGTGCCAACAATGGTCCTGGGAGAGTTACAATAAATAGGTCATGTAATTCAGTGCAGCTATGTACAGTGGTAGGTATTATTATAGTACCCTATGAACAGATGACAAAACGGAGTTAACAAACAAAACAAGCAACTCGGATGGAGCTCAGGAGACTGGCCCAGGGTCCCTACTCTATGCACTGCTACCTCCACAAAGTCATGGGTGCTGTCATTCTTCCTTTTTACCAAGGAGAGCCTGTGCACACAAAGCAGGGTGTCCCTTTCACCAGAGTAATCCCTGCTCTTGATGATGCCACTTACAGATAGCACAGGTTATGTAAGGAGCAGAGTCCTCTTTAAGCTCCCCACAGAAGGTACTGTCTACTATCACTGCATTTCCCCCAGGCCCCCCAGAACACAGCTTTGCCTACTGGGCCTCAGAAGAAAGCAGAACCAAATGGAATTTCAGCAGCCTCAGACATTTAGATGAACAGACTAGATGCTACTTGTCTGCAGGATTTTACATGGCACAGAGAGGATTCCTGTAAACAGGGATTTAGCCTCTTGCTGAGAAACACAGGTAGTTCTGTGCCTGTGTCAGAAATCAATAGCTGGGATTCTAACCCCAGTCCCACACCCACCTTACTGCAGATGTGGAAAAGTTGCTAAAGACTTCAGCCTCTGTCTTCCATCTTTAACAAAATGTTAGAATACCCATTTCTATTTTCTACAAGTATGGGAAGGATGAAATTAACTTTGATGAAGAGAGCAGTTAGTTTCTTGAACAAGACAGGACATCATTCATCACTTTCGGGGTGGTGAACCTACAGAATGTACTGTATGTCTTCAGCCAGTAGTTCAGGAAGTAGGCCACCTGGCTCATTGGAAGTCTATTTTTGCTAACTCCAAAATTTGGCTTGTTTTCTTCCTTCTGGGAGCAGAATTTCTCAATGCCTTCTGGAACGTTCACCTCTGGGTTTTTTCTGGAAGGAGACCTGCCAGATGCCACCATGCTGACGTTTGGGGCAGAACACAGAAAGCCAGGGACTGGGGAGAAGAAACCCAAACACATGATGGCTTAGAAACTGGTGATGTCAAATTCATTTACTTGGGACTGAGCGATGTCTCTGGCAGCCTTGCCTATTGATTTGAAGATGTTTCCCCATTTTACTCTTCTCATCTCCACTCTTGATCTCCTTAATGTCAACTTGTCTTAGGTACTCAGTCACCTTGAAGCCAGGACATAGATACTTCTACCTTTATCTTGCTTATAATTTCTGTAGGATCTTATATGGCAGAGAGAGGATTCCTGTAAACATGATTTAGCCTCTTGCTGAGAAAAACAGGTGGTTCTGTGTCTGTATCAGGAATCAATAGCTGGGATACTAACCCTAGTCTGACATCCACCTTACTGCAGACATGGAGAAGTTGCTAAACACATTGGCCTCTTTCATTCATCTTTAACAAAATGTTAAGATACCCATTGCTCTTTTCCTAGAAGTACAGGAAGGATGAAATTAACTTTGAGGAGCAGAGTGTATCATTTCTCAGAGACAAGACAGGACATCGTTCAGCCCTTTCGTGACAGTGAACCTATGGAACTTACTTTCCATCTTCAGCCGGCAGCCCAGGTAGTAGGCCACTTGACTCATAAGAATTTTATTTTGCTGTCTCTGTATTTCTGTTCCTCCTCATGATCTTTTCCATCTTCTGAAAACAAATTCAGAAGAGCAGGTCACATTAAGCCAATCACACTTCACACAAGACCAAATCAGTGTCCAGTCATAGCACAAGGACATAAAATAAACTAGTGTAAGAATGTGATATTCTGATGGGAATCTTCTAAAGGGACCTAGATTAAGTCACCTCAGAAGTAGATGAGCCTACTTTTCAGATCCATGGGACAAAATCTCCCTCATCTGCTAGATCTTAATCACATATCCTCTGACCTAAGTCAGCACAAACAGTTAAAACTTTTTCCCCAAAATCTTCAAAAATTGCCCTAACTACTTACCAGAACAATTACTGCAATACCGATTTATCTCATCATATATCATGGTCAATGAATGGTTTGAGAAATTTATAAAGGATACTGGACTGAGGGATGAATTCTAGCAATGTTTACTTAAAAAACAATCTGTGGAGCTGGCACAGTGGTCCATGCCTTTAATCCAAGCACTTTAGGAGGCCCAGGATGGCAGATCACTTGACCTCAGGAGTTCAAGACCAGCTGGGCCAACGTGGTGAAACTCCGCCTCTACTAAAAGTACAAAAGTTTGCCAAGTGTGGTGGTGTCCACCAGGGATCCCAGCTAACTGGGAGGCTGAGGCACCAGTACCAGGGTACTCCCTGCTCTTGATGGTGCCACTTACAGATATCACAGGTTCTGTTAGGAGCAGGGTCCCCTTCAAGCTCCTCACAGTGGGTACTGTGTGCTATCACTGTTTCCCCCAGGGTCCTCAGAACACAGCTTTGCCTGCTGGGCCTCAGCAGAAACTGGAACTGAATGGAAGTTCAGCAGCCTCAGACATTCAGACCAACAGACTAGATGCTACTTGTCTGCAGAATCTTATACGGTACAGAGAGGATTCCTGTAAACAGGGATTTAGCCTCTTGCTGAGAAAAACAGGTGCTTCTGTGCCTGTGTCAGAAATCAATAGCTGAGATTGTCACCCCAGTCCCACACCCACCTTACTGCAGATGTGGAAAATTTGCTAAAGACTTTGGCCTCTGTGTTCCATCTTTAACAAAATGTTAAAATACCCATTTCTATTTTCTAGAAGTATGGAAAGGATGAAATTAATTTTGATGAAGAGAGCATTTAGTTTCTCGAGACAAGACAGGACATCATCACGTTTGTGGAGGTGAACCTATAGAACTTACTCTACGTTGTCAGCCGATAGTTCAGGAAATAGGCCACTTGACTCATAAGAAGTCTATTTTTGCTGTCTCTGAAATTCGGTTTGGTCTCTTCCTGCTGGGAGCAAGAATTCTCGATGGTTTCTGCAAAGTTCACCTCTATGGTTTTCATGGAACAAGTCCTGCCAGGTGCCACCATGCTGATGTTTGGGGCACCACAGGCAGAGCCAGGGACTGGGGGGAAGAAACCCAAATACATCATGGGTTAAAAACTGGAAATCAAATAGGTTTTATCAGGACTGGGGGATGTCAATAACTCAAATTCTTAACTTACTGTTGAGAAAAACCTGATCCCTCCTCACAGCACTTTAAGGTCCTTAACCGCAAAAACAAGGTTCGCAATGCTTGAGCTGAGAACTGAAGGCGCTGCCTGTAGCTCAGACTCTGACAAGAGTGTGGGAGAGAGTGGGCAGTGCCCCAGGTAACGGTCTGCTGTTGCAATAACAGAATTAGGAGCTGGGCGTGTCATGGAATCTTAGGAGCCCTTCATTCCATTGCCCAGGGTTTGCTAAAACACAGGCCTCCTGGTCTCACCTGAGCTCGCAACAGATGGGGACTGTTCCTCTATTGGTCACTCTCAGTATTTGTGTACCCTGGTGACAATGCCACAGTCCCATCTCACTCCCAATACATCTAAGCATGTGCCTCATTTTTCATCTCTTTTGTGTATAAAATCATCAAGGCAGAAACAGTTTCCCAACACGTGATACTTTCTTAATGCTAGTCATGAAGTCAGTCACCTCTCCTTCTCTTATGTTAAAACAGAATTTAAGTCTTTTCCACAAGTTTAAGATAACAGCCTATTACACTGCCATGATATCCTCTGAGTCTTCTGCAGTTTTTTTCTGTATCCACTAGAAAATCAATGAGTAATTCATTTCTTCAAAATGTTTTCTTTCCTGGCTCAATATTCTTCTTGCTGCATCCCATGGTTATGCTGATTTAGTTTTTCTTACTGGCAGATACCACTACACTGATGTTTGTGGCAGAAGAGGCTTTTCATTACACTTAAGACCAGTGTGACGTCCCTATGTCCAAAGCTTCCTCTATGTGGGATGATTTGTTTTTTAATGTGACTGAACACTACGTCTCATTCTTGTCACTTATGGATGTCATTCTAGTCCAAGAAGAGCTCTTTTCAAGATATCAAGTCATCAGCATCATTTCTACAGAGATCTCCTGAAAGCATGTGTGACCATCTATCTTGGGAAGTCTTGTAAACCTGATACGATTATGTTTTCATTTTGTTTTTTTCCATATATTAAAAATAACAGGGCCATGAGTGGTCCTTATGGAATACTGTTTGATAGATATTTTTCTGAGTTCATCTAACACCATTGATGTGTGGTTGCATCCCACTAACCAAACACAGCAAGATCAAGGTGATGGTCAGGGGTGGTTGGTGGTCCTCAGTGTTGCTGTGCAATAGAAGGTGAATTTGAGATGAGAGGAACGAGTAGGGAAGAGTGATCCCCTGAACCTCCCCCTCACTTTCTCAGCCGTCATCTCCACCTAGGTTTTGTGAGCCTGGGACTTGGGAGACTGTTCTGTAGCCCAGGTCTCCTATGTTTGGCTGCTGGGCTTGCCTGAGTAGAGGGTGCAATGGGTGTGACCCTGGGCTGAAGGAAGTGAAGGAAAAAGAACTGGATCAATCCCACTGGAAAGCGTGCCTCTCTGCAGCCCCCACCATCCTTCAACAACACTGTAAGGATACTGCTTTGAGATACATCAAAGGCTTTAAGTAAATGTATGTTCTGGTGTCTGGGAGGCCTGACATCTGTGGCAGAATGAAAAGCTGTCAGGTTTCTTCATTTTAAAAATGTTGAAACTGTAGGTTCACAAAGTTATGTGGCTTATTTGAGGTCACACACAGAGATGAGTTTTGAGCCCTGCTAATAAAAGCACTCACAACAATTATTCCATAATTATTCATAGAATCCATGTCATTCAGTAAATATTCATATAATTATTCAGTAATTATTTCTTGACCAATGTGTACCAGGCATTTTGCTCAAAACTGTGCACATATTTGAACAGCATATCTTCATCATAATCTTCAAGGTAATGCTGTTATCCTAAGAATCAGGTAAGAAACCTGAAGAAGAGGGCTAGCAAATCATGAATTTTTTGGTTCCTGTGATGCTGGATGAATGACCAGAATGAGTCACAGGAAAAGTATTCATTCCTGTATCATTTTCCAGGACAGAGTTGTGCCCTCCTAGAATACTGGGACCAAATTTCAGAAGTGTCTGCAACCTTGCTTTAACAGCATGGGAAATAACCTCTATTACCTGGAATTTCCCTGGGCTTTTGGAATATACAAGAGAAGTATGAGACTTGGGTCTTCCCTTGACTATAGTTAATTCTCTCTTCTATGGAATACCGATGATTCTCACTAAGAGTTTTCCTTTTTTTCTTTCTTTTTTTTTTTATTTTGAGACATTCTTGCTTTGTCACCAGGCTGAAATGCAGTGGCACAATCTCAGTCCACTGCAACCTCTGCCTCCCAGGTTCAAGCAATTCTCCTGCCTCAGCCTCCTGAGTAGCTGGAACTACAGACATGTGCCACCATGCCCAGCTAATTTTTGTGGTTTTGGTAGAGACAGGGTTTCACCATTTTAGCCAGGACGGTCTTGATATCTTGACCTTGAGTTTCTTTAGAGACACTAAATACCTGAATCCCAAGTGCTTAGCACAGTATATAAAAAAAAAAAAACTCAATAAATATTTATGAGAAACTTCCCTCAACTGAAGGTGCAGAAGAATATTTTAAGTATCACTGCTTCATACATAAGCAAGGGACAATTACTCTGGCACCTGACCTAGGGCAGAGCTGTTTGATGTAAGAATAGATATCTCCAACACTTGTCCAAGCGCGGTTATTCCCTCTAACCCACACTGACCTGAAGAGCATCCACTGCTAGAGCAGCAACGAGGTCGAGACTCCTGCATCTGGGGTGGGGGCTGACGGTCACATCCTTCCCCTCTTGGAGTCTAAGCTGCCCCTTACTATAAACCAGCTCTGATCCACGCTGTGGTTCTCCCTGGCCAGAGGCAGGAGATTCCTGTGGAAGAAGTTTCTCTCAGTCCCCACTGCTCAGCTCACCCTGCTCCTTGAGGGTTTAAATGACCATAGACATTGCCTATTTCCCCTGAGGCTTCTGGCCCATTTGCCCTCATTGTCCCCTTCTTTTGTTTTCATTTACCAATGGCTTGTCCTATGTGGATTATTCTATCCCCTAAACCTGCTGACTTTCTTCTACCTGTTCCCTCAGCTCTGGGATTCCAGCATGTAGACTCAGCTCAGGCTCCTGCAGCAGACACACAGAGTCAGGTCTCAGCTGAAGGTCCGAGGCAGCATTGAAAACCATCTCAATTCCTCAGAGATTCAGAGAAAACAGAGCAGGATGGGACCTCAGAGAGGTACAATAAGCCTCTACCTTACCGACGAGGAATCTGAAGCCCAGAAAGACTAAGACTCTCTCAGGCTCCCTCCCTCACCACTTGGTGGCAGCAGATCCACCACAAGCCTTGGCCTCAGCCTCCCTGTGCAGAGCAGGTAATTCACCCTCCAGAAGCTCACTGCTGCCTTTCAGAAACTTTAGATGAAAAACAGCAATTTCTCCTGTGAAAACAAAAACAGTAAAAGCCCCTTTCCTTGGACAAACGCTTTATCAGAGTTCTATAGTCCTGGCATTTATACTTAGTCAGCTGCCATTCACTGGCTGGTAGACTGGGGCAGGGAGCACCTAGGATTAAATAGTGTTTCACAAAACCCTGCCTTCCCGGCCAGGGCTCTCAGCTCCTCCATTCTTCTTCAGAAACTATCTCCTGCTGTAACTGCTGGAGAGTCCAGGCCCTCATGTGGGTAATTTCTCCATGAAGATCCCTGTTATTTTCTTCCTCTCCTGGAGACAGAGAGGGCAGAGATTGGTTCTGGGACTCCATAGTCTTAGGTTTTCTCCTACGCCAGCCAGGGCAGCTGAAAGCAATCATGACTGTGAGAGGTCAGGTCAGTGAAGAGGAGCACGGGCTCACAAGGACAGCCCCTCGTGGAGATGGTCAGGACTGTGACACAGGCAATATCTGACCAATTCTGCTGGGGATAATGCAAGAAGGATTAAGTGGAGGATCCTGCCATGAAGAGAAAGGGGAAGAACCAAAAGAGTGGGGGAAGAAGGAAAATAAAATGCTTTCAATAATGATAGAAAAAAATGCAGAGCCTGGAGGCAAAGCCCCCTGTCACAGGGGTTTAGTTCCAGGCTGAGGAGCCTAATCAAGAAATTCCTGCTGGACTTTGCTTAGCCCCATTTCAAAATGGTTTTGGATCAGTTTGTTCCCTCCACTTTCCCTCCTTTTGAACATGAATCACTAGCATCGTTATTCTGTGACTGTCCCACCAGTGCACATTGAGGACAGATAAGCTGTTTCTTCAGTTTCACAGGTCAACAGAGATAAGGGAATTAGATCAAGGATCTGTACTTGAGCTGGGCATGGTGGCTCATGCCTGTAGTTCTAGCACTTTGAGAAGCCTAGGGGGACGGATCCCTAGTCCTGAGGTCAGGAGTTTCAGACTAGCCTGGCCAACAGGGTAAAACCCCATTTCTACTAAAAATACAAAAAAAAAAAAAATTAGCTGAATGTAGTGGCACACACCTGTAGTCCCAGCTACTCAAGAGGTTGAGGCAGGAGATTGGCTTGAACCCCGGAGGCAGATGTTGCAGTAAGCCAAGATCACACCACTGCACTCCAGCATGGGTGACAGATCGAGACTCACTCTCAAAAAATAAGAATCTGTGCTTAATAAATGCCCTCCAAAGCCTCATTCACACTTGGTGTAGATGATTTAAATGAGATTTTAAACTTTTGATCAGATTAGAGCTACATGACATTTTTCACTTTGAACTAATGCATTAATGACATGAAACTTGGAAACCTTAGGTGAGAAGGTGAATGTATTTTGCATCTGTGAGGAACATGAATGTCTGGGGATCAGAAGTTGAACTGTGATAGGTGGAATTCCTAAAATGGTCTCCAAACATGCTGTACCCTTATCTCTGGAACCTGTTAAACTGGTGAGACATTCCTGTGATTACGTTGTTACATGGCAGTCATATGACTTTAAAGAGTGATATGGTTTGTCTCTGTGTCCCCACCCAAATCTCATGTTGAATTATAATCCTGAGTGTTAGAGCGGGGGCCTGGCAGGAGGTTACTGGATCATGGGGATGGTTTCTAATGGCTTAGCACCACCCTGCAAGTGCAGTCACATGATACAGTTTCCATGAGACCTAGTTGTTTAAAAGTATGTAGCACTTCCCCTTTCTCTCCCTCTCTCCTGCCGGCCATGTGAAGACCGTGCTTGCTCCACCTCTATCATGACTGTAGGTTTCCTGAGTCCTCCCCACAAGCAGAAGCCTGTACAACCCACATAACCATCATCTGATTAAACTTCTTTCCTTTATAAATCACCCAGTCTGAGGTCATTCATTATAACACTGCAAGAACAGACTAATACAAAGCTGAGCTTTCCTGAGTGGGCCGGATCTAATCACATCACTCCTTATGTGTCAGAGATTTCTCTAGTGGGTAGAAGACAAGTCAGAGAGAGGATGGGAGCTGGAGAAGAATTCCATGAGCTGTTGTTGGTTGGAAGATGGGGAAAGTGAGAAAGAATGCAGGTGGCCTCTGGAGTCAGGGTGTCTCCTGGCTGAGAGCCATGGTACAAAAGGGATCTCCATCCTCCACCCATAAGAAGAGGGATTCTGCCAATATATCTGTAGTGAACTTGGAAGAGTAGCCTGAGCTGCAGATGAAAAACACAGGCAGCACATAACTGGATTTCAGCCTCCTAAGACCCTGATCAGAGAACCCAATCATTCCTGAGTTCTGTGGTTTCAAACCACTAACTTGTTATAATGCATTAGAAGGTAGCAACAGAAAACTAGTTACAGGTGCCTATCTGTACTCTTTTTATATTTTCACATACATGTATGCTAATCCCTATAAGCATACACACACAAAAAGCAAAGAACTACAGTAAAATGTTACACTTACCTTTATGGGAGCACTGTAAGGGCTGTTTCAGAGCCCTTGCAACTTGAAGAAGATAATGAAGGGCATTTCAGGCAGGTGAGAAGTGTCTCCTCAGTGTGGCCAACCCAATTTCTGAAAGAAAAAAGATGGTAAAATACTTAACTCCAAGCCAGGTGTGGTGGCTCATGCATGTAATCCCAGCACTTTAGGAGGCTAAGGTGGGTAGATCACCTGAGGTTGGGAGCTCAAGACCAGCCTGACCAACATGGAAAACTCTGTTTCTACTAAAAATACAAAATTAGCTGGGCATGGTGGTGCATGACTGTAATCTCAGCAACTCAAAAGGCTTAGGCACAAGAAGCAACTGAACCCTAGAGGTAGAAGTTGCAGTGAGCTGAGACTGCACCATGGCACTCCAGCATGGTGGCTCACACCTGTAATCCCAACACTTTGGGAGGCTGAGGAGGGCAGATTACCTGAGGTCGGGAGTTCAAGATCAGCCTGACCAACATGGAGAAACCCTGTCTCTACTAAAAATACCAAATTAGCTTGGCGTGGTAGTGCATGCCTGTAATCCCAGCTACTCGGGAGGCTGAGGCAGGAGACTTCCTTGAACCCAGGAGTTAGAGGTTGCAGTGAGCTGAGATCACGTCATTGCACTGTAGCCTGAGCAACAACAGCAAAACTCTGGCTCAAAAAACAAAACAAAACAAAACAAAAATAAAACTTAACTCCGCATAACATCATCTGCAAATTCATCATCTACATTTCTAATAGAAGATTTTTTTTTTAGCTCTTTCACTTGTGCTCACCAGACAAGGTTTGATAGCAACTATCTGTCACCAGCATAGATGAACCAATTCAAGGAGAGCAATAAACAGGAATACTACTAAGTTCCCCCAAAGAAAGTCCTTCGAATAAAATATCTCCTCTAGTTACCACAAGAGTAAGACAATGGTCCATTCTATAAAATTCCAATCTAATAAAAGCTTAAATTTAATGTTTGTTTTCCAAATTTGTATTTTGTTCAGGCTCCATCAAGGTGACCAGGGATTGGAAAATGACTGCAAAGAGGCTCTGGGGAATCTGGGGAGGAAGAAATGCATTCTAAGAGGGGACTGAGGTGATGGCTGCAAAATTCTATATATCTACTTAAATTATTAAATTCTACATTTGCAATTAGTGACTTTTATTACAAGTAACTTGTTAAACGAAATTTCTGGTTTCTACTCCAACTTGTAAGGAGCTTAGGAGGTCACCACTTGTCCTCACAACAAGAGAAAAGCTGAACAAACTGAAAATTATCAAACTTTATTAGGGGGACTAGAGGAGAGGTCACAGGGCAAATTGCCATGCTGAAAACAAATACAGGGAACAGAAGCTGCTGAAGCCAGCAACTGGGAGGAGCACTTAAACAGTACTGACAGATTACCAGAAGCTAAGTGTGGCCTGGCTTGAGCATTAAAAACTCCTTGGGGACCAGATTTAGTGGCGATATCACACTTTTCTAAGTTTTACCACCAGAAGCGCAACCACGTTCTCATAGTAAAGATCAGAAAAATCCCCAGAGAATTGACACTGCCGACTTCAGTACTAATTATAAAGCTTCAGAAACCAAACAGTGTGGAAATTGATGAAGAAAGAAAAAAACAGACAAATAGGTCACTAGAAAAGAATACAGAGCTCGGGAATACACCTACACAAATACTCAACTAGTCTTTGAGAAAGGTGCAAAGGCAGTTTAACAGGGAAAGGACAGTCTTCAACAAATGGAGCTAGAATGACTAGATATTCACATGTGAAAAATAAATAAATGTAGGCACAGATTGCACACCTTTCACAAAATAGGCCTTACACCTGAATGTGAGGTGCAAAGCTGTAAGACTCCTGGATAACATAGGGGAAAATCTTAGCGACTTTGGGTTTAGCGATGACTGCTCAGATACAAAGCCAAAAGCACAATCCAGGAAAGAAAAAAATGGATAAGTTGAACTTCATTAAAGTTAAAAACTTCTGCTCTGTGAAAGACATTGTGAAGAAAATGAATAAGCAAGTGATAGACTGGGAAAAAAATATTGGCAAAATACAGATCTGATGAAAGACTGGTGTCCAAAATATATAAAGAACTCTTAAAACTCAATAATAAAAAGCAAATAACTCAATTTAAAAATGGGCAAAAGATCTGGATACTTCACCAGAATAGATACATGGATGGCAAATAAGCATACGAAAAAGATGCTCAAAAACATGTGTCACTAGGAAATTGCATATTAAACCAATGAGATGCCACTACACTATAATATACACCTAATACGAAGGCTCAAATCCAAACAAGTGACAATACCAAAGGCTGTCAAAGATGCAGAGCAAGAGGAACTCTCATGCACTGCTAGTGGAAATGCACAATGCTAGTCACTTTGGAAAACAGTTTGGCAGGTTTTCGTTGTTGTTTTTTACAAAGCTAAACATAGCCTTGCCATATAATCCTGCAAATAGCAGTTTTAGATACTTACCAAAGTAATGTGAAAACAAGTTCACTCAAAAACTTGCATCCAAGTATTTACAACAGTTTTACTCATACTTGTCAAGAACTGGAAGTAACCAAACGGTCCCTCAGTAAGTGAATGGCTAAACAAACTGTGTTTATCTGTACAAGAGAATATGATTCAGTGATAAAAAGACATGAGCTATCAGGCCATGAGAAGACATAGAGGAACTTTAAATACATAATGCTAGGAAGAAACTAGTCTAAAGACTCTACACACTGTATGATTCCAACACTAGGACATCCCAGGAAAGTCAGAATTGTAGAGATAGTGAAATGATCAGTGATTGCCAAGCATGGAGGAGGAATGAATTGGTTGAACACAAGGAGGTTTTCAGCAGTGAAACTCTTCTGTGTGATACTGTACTGAGGATTCAGGACATTAGGTAACCATCAAAACCCATAGAACTGCAAAACTCAAAGAATGAACCCTAATGTAAACTATGGAGTTTAGTTAATAATATCATATCAATTATTGATTAATCAATTGTAAACATGTATCACACTAACGCAAGATACCAATGATAGAGGAAATTGTGTGCTAAGGGACAAGAGAGAGTAGGGGAATTCCCTGTGCTATCAGCTCAATTTATCTGTAAACCTAGAATTATTCTAAAAAATAATGTCTATTACATTTTATTAAAGTTAGGATGCAACAGCCCCAAATCAAAATGTTGGTGGCATCCTGTTACTGTGTGGTTAATACTGGGCACTGAGGTGCACCAACCTGGAGTCAGAACAGTCGGAGATATCAATGCCTGTGCCTTCAACCTCTGGCTCTGTGGGGGTCCCCGGAATCCAGAGAGCAGATCAGTTAGCTTGAGACAGCCTCAGTGCTCCAGATAGTGCAGGCTTCTGATAGGACAGGGAGAAATCATCTCAGGGCAGTAATATGGCCGATATATATTTTATTTTGGACGTGGGTGAATCTTGAAGTCTAAAAAGTATTTAACTTAAAAGACAGATAATCTCTGCTCATTATGTTAAGAAAAAATGTAGAATCATTGTTAAACTTACATCTTTATTTCCCTAGCTGGCCAGGACCTCATCAGTAGCTACTGATGTCACTAGTGTCCTCTGATCACCTTGGCATTGTTCACTGTTTTGACCCAACAGGAAACTGAGGTGTTGCTTGTACCTAAGATGCAGACACCTGGCAGAAATCCAGGGTCACTGGCCCAGAGCAAGTCATGCAGCTGTTGATGACAACCAGAAGGGGTACCTGGCCATCCACTGAGGTCACCTCCATGCAGCATGAGCCACTTGCTCTAATGAAGCCACCATCACTACACTTCTTATAACTCACTATTCACTAGACGGAGAGTTCTGTGAAAGCTGAGATCGTATTCTACTCATCTCTGTGTTCATGATTCCCAGCTTAGGGTGTGGCACTAAGGAAGGTCTCAGCAGTGTTCACTGATGATAGGATAAAACTGACTACAGATATCCAATCCAATCACCGACATTCCTCTCCAAAATGTCCTACCAGGGAGGCTATAATTTCTCCCAAGATGCAGCAGCAAGCCCCCTTCCTACACCTGTAGACCCCTGCTCTAGGGACCAGTCATGCGCCAGGGTCATCTTCTGTGGGTCACTGGAGGAGAAACGGGACTACTCTGAAGAATCCCTCTTATGGTTCCCCTTGTCATTAGGAGCAATGTCTTCACCTACACTCCCATCCTCTGGGTTGCCATGACACTCCATTTTCAGAGAGCTACTGTATTTTCTTGAAATCATGTCTCTGTGTTCTTTCTCTCATGGGCTTGAGTTCCTTGGGGAAACATTACTATTTGAATCCCAAGTGCTTAACACAGTGTAGAGAAAATTAAACACCCAGTAAATACTCATATCATATAGAGACCTTCCTCAACTGAAAGTGCAGAGGAATAGTGTAACTATCACTGCTTCATATACTGGCAAGAAACATTTACTCTGGCACCTAACCTAGGGCAGAACTGTTTGATGTAGGGACAGACATCTCCAAACCATGTCCAACCACAGTTATTCCCTCTAACCCACACTGACCTGAAGAGCATCCACTGCTACGGCAGCCCTGAGGTCGAGGCTCTGGGGTCTAAGGTGGGGGCTCATGGTCGCATCCTCCCCCTCTTGGAGTTGGTGCTGCCCCTCATTATAAACCAGCTGTGATCCACCCTTTGGCTCTCCCTGGCTGGGGTCAGGAGACTCCTGTGGAGTAAGTTTCTCTCTCCATCCCCACTGCTCAGCTTGCCCTCCTCGAGTAGTTGAATGATGACAGGCCTATTGCCCATTTCCTTGAGGCTTCTGGCCCAGTTTGTCCTTATTTTCCCCTTCTTTGGTTCTCACCTGTTCTACCATTGACTTGTCCTTTGCAGGTTATTCTCTCTTTTCTGAAACCTGTTGACTTTCTTTCTTCCATCTGTTCTCTCAGTTCTTGGCTTCCAGGGTGTGGACTCAGCTTAGGCTCTGCAGGAGACACACAGGGGCCAGTCAGGAGTCAGACCCAGAGAGGTCAGTGCAGGTTACAGGTCCAGGAAGTGTTAAAAACCATCTTAGTCCCTCAAGAACTCGGACAAAACTGTGCAGGAAGGGACTTCAGGGAGGTAAAATAAGCCTCTACCTTACTGATGAGAAAACTCAAGTCCAGAAAGACTAAGACTCTCCCAGGCTCCCTCACCACTTGGTGGCAGCAGACACACCACGCAAGCCTGGGCCTCAGCCTCCCTGTGCAAAGCAGGTAGCTCGCCCTCCAGAAACTCACTGCTGCCTTTCAGAAAACTTTAGATCAAATACAGCAATTGCATCTTGCAAGCAGAGTAAAAGGGCCTTTCCTTGGACAATTCTTTATTGTGGTTCTATAGTCCTATTACTTATTCTCAGTCTGTTGTCATTCGCTGGCTTGTAGATTGGGGCAGGGAGAACATGGGAATTAAACAGTGCTTAGCACAACCCTGCTTTCCCAGTCTGGGAGTTCATCTCCTCCATGCTCCTCAGGGAGTTTCCTCTGCTGTAACTGCTGGAGAGTCCAGGCCCTCACGCGGGTCATTTCTCACTGAAGACCCCTGTTATTTTCTTCCTCTCCTGGAGATAGAGAGGGCAGAGATTGGTTCTGGGACTCCATAGTCTTAGGTTTTCTCCAAAGCCAGCCAGGTCAGCTGAAAGCAATCATGCCTGAGAGAGGTCAGTCAGTGAAGACACTCCCAGAGGAGTGCCTGATGGAGACGGTCAGGACCGTGACATGGGCAGTATCTGATCAATTCTGCTGGGGATAATGGACCAAGGTTTAAGTTGAGGATGCTACCAACAGGAGAAAGGGGAAGAACCGAAGAGTGGGAAAAAAGATAAATAGTAATAGTTTCAAGAACTGCAGAACAAAGATCCCAGAGGCAAAGTCCCACAGGATGGAGGCTCAGTCCCAGGCTGTGGTTCCTACTTAAGAACCTCCTGCTGGATTTTGCCCAGCTCCACTTCCATACTATTCTGGGTCACTGACTTCTTTCTCCCTTCCATGTTCCTTCATTTTGAACTAGAATCACTGTAATTGTTATTCTGTGTCTGTCCCGCCATTCCACATTAGGAGCAGATAAGCAGTTTGTTCAGTTTCACAGGTCAATGGAGGTAAGGAAATTATGTCAAAGATCTGTACTTAATGGACACCCTCAGAAGCCTCATCCATACCTGGTGTGGATATTTTAGATGAGATTTGATCTGATGTGGTTTATGTGACATTTTTCATGTTGAACTAATGCTTTATTTACATGAAATTTGGAAACTTTAGGGGAGAGGGTGAATGCATTTTGCAGATGGGGGAATGTGAGTGTCCAACTGTGGTAGATGGAATTTCTGAAATGGTCCCCAAACATGCCATACCCTTGTCTCTGAAGCCTGTTAAGGGGATGAGACATGATTCCTGTGATTATGTTGTTATATGACAGTTACGTGACTTGAAGATGGTGAGGTTACCTGCATGAACTGGATCGAATCACATCACTCCGTAGGTCACAGAACTTTTTGTGGCTAATTGGAGAAGATGAAGTCAGAGAAAGGAGGAGCCTGAGAAGGACTCCATGAGTTGTGATTGGTTGAAAGATGGAAAAGACAGCTAAGTAGGAAAGCAGGTTGCCTCTGAAGTCAGAGTGTCTCCTGGTTGACAGCCAGCACAGTAAAAGGGCCCTCAGTCCCCCAGGAACAAGAATAGAAACTCTTTCAATAAGTGTAGTGAACTCAGAAAAATAGCCTGAGCTCTAGAGAAAACCCATAGCTAGCCCATTCCCAGATTGTAGCTTCACGTGACCCTGATCAGAAAACCCAGCTGCTTCATTCCAGACTTCTGTGGCTTCAAACCACTGGTTTGTGGTAATGTGATAATAGGCAGCAGGAGAAAACTAGTTACAGGTGCCTGCCTCTACTCTTGCATTCTATTTCAGATACATGGATGCTAACCCCTCTAAGAGCAAAAATCAGTCAATCAAAGAACTACAGGAAAAATCTTGCCCTCACTTTGATGTGGCTATTCCAGAGCCCTTGCCACCTGAAGAAGACAATGAGGAGAATTTCAGGCATGTGAGGAGCGTGGCTTTACTGTTATGAACCAAATTTCTGAAAGAATAAAGATGGTTCAGGCCTGGTGCAGTGACTCATGCCTGTAATCCTAACACTTTAGGAGGCAGAGGCAGTTGGATCACCTGAGGTCAACAGTTAGAGACCAACCTGGCCAATATGGTAAAACCTTGTCTCTACTAAAAGTACAAAAATTAGCTGGGTGTGGTCGTGGGCACCTGTAATCCCAGCTACTCAGGAGGCTGAGGCATGAGAATCACTTGAACCCAGGAGGTGGAGGTTGCAGTGAGCTGAGATCATGCCATTGCACTCCAGCCTGGGCACAGAGCAAAAATTCTGTGAAAAGAAAGAAAAGAAAAAAATAAAGATGCTTTAGTACTTAACTCCACATATTAATATGTGAAAATGTATCATCTCTGCAGAGAAGGCCTTTGACAAAATTCAACAGCCCTTCATGCTAAAAACTCTCAATAAACTAGGTATCGATGGAACTTATATAAAATGATAAAAGCCACTTATGACAAGCCTACAGTCAATATCATACTGAACGGGCAAAAGCTGGAAGAATTCCCTTTGAAATCAGGCACTGCACAAGGATGCCCTCTCTCACCACTCCTATTCAATATAGTACTGGAAGTTCTAGCCAGAGCAATCAGGCAAGAAAAAGATATAAAGGGTATTCAATTAGGAAAGGAGAAAGTCAAACTCTATTTGCAGATGACATGATTGTATGTCTAGAAGACCCCATCGTCTCAGCCCAAAATCTTCTCAAACTGATAAGCAACTTCAGCGAAATATCAGGATACAAAATCAATGTGCAGAAATCACAAGCATTCCTATATACCAATAACAAAGAAACAGAGAGTAAAATCAAGAGTGAACTTTTCACAATTCACAATTGCTACAAAGAGAATAAAATACCTAGGAATACAACTAACAAAGGATGTAAAGGACCTCTTCAAGGAGAACTACAAACCACTGCTCAACAAAATAAGAGAGGACACAACAGATGGAAAAACATTCCATGCTCATGGTTAGGAAGAATTAATATTGTGAAAATGGCCATACTTGCCAAAGTAATCTATATATTCAATGCTATCACCATCAAGCTACCAGTGACCTTCTTCATAGAACTGGAAAAAAACACTTTAAACTTCATATGGAATCACAAGAGAGCCTGCATAGCCAAGACAATCCTAAGCAAAAAGAATGAAACCAGAGGCATCACACTGCTGGACTTCAAACTATACTACAAGGCTACAGTAATCAAAACAGTATGGTACCGGTACCAAAACAGAGACACAGACCACTGGAACAGAACAGAGGCCCCAGAAGCAACACCACACAACTACAACCATTTGATCTTTGACAAACCTGACAAAAACAAGCAATGGGGAAAGGACTCCATGTTTAATAATTGGTGTTGGAAAAACTGATTAGCAATGTGCAGAAAGCAGAAACTGGACCCCTTCCTGTCACCTTGCACTAAAATTAACTCCAGATGGATTAAAGATTTAAACATAAAACCTAACACCATAACAACACTAGAAGAAAATGTAGGCAAAACCATCCAGGACATAGGCATAGGCAAGGACTTCATGACTAAAACACAAAAGCAATGGTGACAAAAGCCAAGATAGACAAATGGGGTCGGCAACCAACAGAATGGGAAACAATTTGGCAATCTACCCATCTGACAAAGGATCTACAAAGAACAAAAACAGATATACAAGACAAAAACAAACAACCCCATTCAAAAGTGGGCAAAGGATATGAACAGGCACTTTTCAAAAGAAGACATATATGAGGCCAACAAACATATGAAAAAATGCTCATCATCACTGGTCATTAGAGAAATCCAAATCAAAACCACATTGAGATACCATCTCATGCCAGTTAGAATGGCGATCATTAAAAAATCTGTAGACAACAGATGCTGGAGAGGATGTAGAAAAACAAGAACACTCCTACACAGTGGGTGGGAGTGTAATTTAGTTCAACCATTGTGGAAGATAGCATGGCAATTTCTCAAGGATCTAGAAATAGAAATTCCATTTGACCCAGCAATCTCATTACTGGGTATATACCCAAAGAACTATAAATTGTTCTACTATAAAGACACATGCACACATATGTTCATTGCAGCCCTGTGTACAATAGCAAAGACCTGGAACTAACCCAAATGCCCATCAATGATAGACTGGTCAAAGAAAATGTGATACATATACACTGTGGAATACTATGCAGCCATAAAAAATGATAAGTTAGTGTCCTTTGTAGGGACTTGGATGAATCTGGAAGCCATCATTCTCAGCAAACTGACACAAGAACAGAAAACCAAACACCATATGTTCTCACTCATAGATGGGTGTTGAACAATGAGAACATGTGGACTCAGGGAGGGGAGCATCACATACTGGGGGCAGCTGGGGGTGTAGGGGAGGGATAGCGGGGGTGGGGAGGGTGGGAGAATAACATGGGTAGAAGTGCTGGATATAGTATACACCTAAAGTAAAATAAAATAATCTTCAGAAAAAATAAAAGAAAATGTATCATTTCTGTTTTAACAGCAGATTTTTAAAGATTCCTTTCCTTGTGCTCACCAGACAAGGTTTTGTAGCAAATACCACTCACCAGCACCAGATGAACCAATTTAAGGAGAGCCATAAACAGGACTACTGTTATGTTTCCCCCAAAAACATGCCTAGAATCCAATCTCTTCTCCATTTGTCAGAAAAGGAAGAAAACAGGCCAATATATAAAGTTCCAAACACATGAAAATGTAAATATAGTGAAGTCTGTTATCCAAATATTTATTCTATCCAGATCTAGTCAAGGGAACAGGGATTAGGAAATGACTACAAAGAGGCTCAACAGAATCTGGGGAAGTGACAAAAATTTGCTAAAATAGAACTTTGCTGCTGGCTGCACAATTCTATACATCAACCTAAACGACTAAGTTGTACACTGACAGTGGGTGACTTTTATTACAAGTAACTCCTTAAATGAACTTTTGGGTTTTGACCCCAACATGGAAAGAGCGAGGCAGTCATCACTTATCCTCACAGCTAGAGAAAAAACTGAACAAACTGAAAGTCAGCTCTTCTAGGATGCACCAGAGAAGCGAGGTCACGGGGAAAACTGCCATCCTAAAACTGAGAGAGACAAGGAGTCACAGCGCACCAGGAAGAGAAGCTACTGGAGCCAGCCACTGGGAGGCGCACTTAAATGTAGTGACAGATTACTAGCAGCTGACGGTGGCCTGCCTTGAGCGTTAAGAACTCCTCGAAGACCAAACTAAGGGGGAATCTTACACACTTCCAAGTTTGACTACAACAATCCCAATCAGGTTGTCATAATCAAGTTCAGAAAAAAACCATGAAGTTGGTACTACCAACTTCAGGACTTACAAGAAAGCTTCAGAAACCAAAACAGCGTGAAGCTGGTGAAAAGAGAAAAAACACACAAGTAAGATCTATGAAAAAGAATACAGAGCCCAGAAACAGGCCTACATACAGTCCACTGATCTTTCATAAAGGTTTAAAGACAATTTAAAACAGCAAGGATAGCCTTTCCAACTAATGGTGCTAAAACATCTAGAAAACCAAATGCAAAATCAATCAATCAATCAATCTAGCTGTGCATGTTATGCCCTTCATAAAATGAATCTTACACCTAAACGTAAGGTGCAAAACAGTAAGAATCCTAGGAGATCATATAGGAGAAAAGCACAATCCACGAATGAAAAAAATAAAGTTGAGCCTCATGAAAATGAAAAACTTCTGCTCTGTGAAAGACACTGTGAAGATAATGGAAAAAGCAAGTCAAAGACTGGCAGAAAATATTTACAAAATAATCTGATAAAACACTGCTGTCCAAAATAGATGAAGAATTCTGAGAACTAAACACACACAAGTCAAAAAAATAATAAAAATAGGTGACAGATCTGAGCACATCACCAATAAAATATGCAGATGGCGCATAAGCATATAAAAAAGATTCTTAAAAGCATTAGTCGTTAGGGAATTGCACATTAAAACAATGAGCTGTCTCTGCAAACCTATTAGAATGGCTAAAATGCAGAAAGTAAACACACCAAATGCAGTCAAAGATGAGGAGCAGCTAGAACTCTCCATAGTTAGTGAAAATCAAAATGGTACAGTCACTTGGGAAAACTGAAGTTCACTCAAAATCCTGCACATAAGTACTTACAGCAATTTTATTCATCAGTGTGAAAACTTGGAAGACCCAAGATGTCTTTCAGCAAGTGAAGGAATAAACAAACTGTGTTGTAGCCATGCCATGAAATCTAATTCAGTGATTTTTTAAAATGAGCCATCAAGCCACAAAAAAGACATGGAGGAAGTTTAAGTCCATCATGTGAGCAAGAAGCCAGTCGGGAAACCTATATACTTTATGATTCCAACTGTAGGACATTCCTGAACAGTCAAAAAGACAGAAACAGTGAAATGATGAGTGGTTGTCAGGGGTGGAGGAGAGGAGGCCTGAAATGGTGAAGCGCAGGGAATCTTCAGCAGTGAAACTATTTTGCATAATGCTGTATTGGGGATTTATGACATTATGTAATTGCCAAAACTCAAAATGTGTGAAAACTTGAAGAATGAACTCTAATGTCAACTATGAACTTTAGTTAATGATGATGTATCAATATTGGTTGATCAATTGCAACAGAGGGACCACACTAATACAACATACTAAAAGGGAAATTGTGTGCTGGAAGTCAGGGGAGCCTAGGAGAACTCTCTGTACTATCTACTCAATTTATCTGTAAACCTACAACTGTTCTAAAAAATAATGTCTATTAAGTTTTTTGAAATTAGGAGGCAGCAAGCAGGCCCAAATCAGGTTTTGGTGGCATCCTGTTATTGTGTGGTTAGTACTTGGCATGGAAGTGCACTGACCTAGAGTCAGAGCAGTTGGAGATTTCAATGCCTGTGCCTTTTGCCTCTATCGCTGGGGTGCCCTCGGAATACAGATAGCAGATCAGTTAGGTGGAAGCTGCCTCAGTGATCTAGACAGTGTAGGCCTCTGGTAAGGACAGGAACAAACCGTCCAGGTGGGCAGAACATAATGAAGACTAGAAACCACTGAGACTCAGCAGCTGCCCCAGGGGTACCCACAAATCAAAGGAGAAGGAGGCTGGGAGGGGCTGAGGGATACAGGATGACCTCCCTGCCTGAAAGACAGAAGCCACTCCAGAGATTTGGGTAAATAATGTAGGTTTCAGTACAGTGTGGTCTATTCAAAAAAGTTTAAATGAAAGAAAAGGAAAGAAAGAAAGAGTGAGAGAGAGAGAAAGAAAAAGAAAAGAGAAGGACGGAAGGGAGGGAGGGAGGAAGGGAGGGAGGGAGGAAGGAAGGAAAAGAAAGACATGGAAGGAAGGAAGGAGGGGAGGGAGGAAGGAGAGGAGGGAGGAAAGAGGGGAGGGAGGGGGGAACAAATGAACTTACACAACAATGAGAAGATCGAGGGGAACTTACATCACCAATATTTTCCATTAACAGGAACACGCTAACTAGTTATTAGAGATGCACTACTGTAAAACCATATTGTTTCCATGATGTGCAATTCCTTCATCCTTTTCTGAAACACTGTCTCTGCCTGCTGTTTCCAGAGACACTGAGTCCTCCCTTTAGACAAGTTCTGGCACCCACAGGAATGAGATGGGACAGTGAACTCTAGAACACCAGGCCACGACCTCCCCTGCTGCTCCTTATCCAACTCCAGAAGCTACCCAGCTGCAGGTGGGGGTCTTAGCCCCTGGGTCTGACATCGTCCATTTGCCTTTCTCACTGGGCTTCTCTCCTCCCACTCCCCCAGGACCTGGCAGATGACCACATGAGAAGGACACAAACAGGCCACACTGTTTTCTTTCTCCCCCTCTCGATGCCTGCACTGGTGGGTTCCATGGGGTAGTGACCTGATATTTACTCATTATGGTGCCCCTAGCCCAGAGCAGGACCTGGCACCTAATAGCCACCCTGTGAATGCTCAGTGAAAGAAGGCATCCACCACAAGGTCCTGAGGAAGCAAGAATTCCACTGTGGCCCATCAATTTTAAGTCCTACAGATTCCAGAATGGGAGATGTGAAAGGCCTTCAAGAGTGGCCACTCTCTGAAACCATTATACCGGCAGCTGAGCCATGTTTCCCCATCCTGGACACATCTAGAGGGCACCGCCTAAATCCAGACACATCTCCCCACACAGGACAGTGCAGGGGCCTTAGCCTGGGAAATGCGGGTGAACAGGGAGGGGGTGAGCCATGAAAATTGAAGAGGAGAAAGCAGGTGAAAGGGAACAGCAAGGTGGAAAGAGAGAGAGAAACAGGGATGGAGACTCGGGGGTGAGAGGGGAAGAGAGAGGAGAGGGACGCAGATCCAGCCACTGAGGAAAAGGCCTGAAGAGAACACTGTCCTCTCCTGAAGTCAAATAACTTCCACCTGACCATGCGCTGCAGGTCATGGGTGGCACATGGTGCCAATGGCTGCAATGTTCAGGGCCTATGGAGTCTTCCCTTCTCATCTGAGTCATAATAGAGAGAGGGCTCTCTCACCTCATGATTTTTACCTGTTGGACCTGGCAGCTCTTCAGGTCAGCCCACGCCATGTGAGGCTGCTCTTGGTGCATCAAATGGGGAAGATTCTACATCAGTGCCTCGGAGAGTCACTAAAAGCCCTGGACAGCAGGAGTCAGTGGTGCCCCAGCCTGAAACCCAAGAGCACACAGCGCTGAAACTCCAGACACCCTCAGGAGGACAGTTAGGGGAATCTGCTGGTGAGAGCCTGGGTCCGCAGGAAACTTCACCTGGGTCTGAACATGATTCGCCTTCATATCGGCTATGAGATAAAAGAGAGAAATCAAGGTTAACATTGAGATTCAGGGCTTGGGCAACTTGAAGGATGGAAGTGACACTTATTGAGACTGGGAAGATGCAGAAAGGCGTAGAGTGAAAGGTGGTGGGGAACTAGAGCTGGCTGGTTTCTGTCACATGCCATCAACAGTCCTGACCAGCCTGGGCAACACAGTAAGACCCTGTCTCTGCAAATAAAAAATAAAAATTAGCAGACCATGGTGACCCACACTTATAGTCTCAGCTACTCTGGAGGCTGAGGCAGGAGGATTCCTTGAGCCTTGAGTTAGAGGTTACAGTGAGCTGTGATGGCAGCACCACACTCCAACCTGGGGGCTGGGAAAAAAGAGTCCTAATTACTTGAGTAGCCAGAGAAAGTGCTTACTTTTCACAAAGTACTATTTGAGGCAGCTCTTAGTGAACAGGAATTCCATTCTTTCTGTAGGAAATTAAGAGAGTGTGGGTGTGGTTAGTTAATGCTGACTGAGCTATCTTTGGAATCTCATCACTGGTCTATCTGGTCTATTTATATGTGTATATTCTATCTCTGTCTCACTGAGTTTGCTAGTTTATGCTGCAGTAACAAAAGCCCCCAAATCTTAGCAGCTACACATACAAAGGTTTATTTTCATTGACATTTCCTTTTACGGCAGGTTAACTGTGGCTCTGCTCTATACAAGCTATTTTATTTGTTAAATGGTGAATGCTGTGATACTTGGAGAATTGTTGAATGTGGTATCAGTATGTTCATTCACTCATTCATCTAACAAATATTTATTCAATATCCTGTTTCATACCAGGCAAGGTCAAGTACTGAGAATACAGTAGTGAATAAGGGATAAGATTTCTAATTTCCAAGAGCTTATGCTGAAAATGAAATTAAACACATACAAAATAATCATAACAATAATACTACATTCAGAAATAATAGATTTTAGTAAATACTTTAAACTAGAAAAATATTAAAATTACTAAAACTAAAATGGTCAAGTGTGACGGCTCACGCCTGTAACCCCAAAACTTTGGGATGCCCAGGTGGGAGGATCGTTTGAGCCCAGGAGTTTGAAGCCAGTCTGGACACCGTAGGAAAGAAGACCCTGTATACAAAAGATAAAAAATGAGCTGGGCATGGTGGTGATTGCCTGTAGTCCCGCTACTAAGGAGGCTGAGGTGGGAAGACTGCTTAAGCCTGAGAGCTCAAAGCTACAGTGAGCCATAGTCACACCACTGTACCACTGCACTCCAGCCTGCTGGGCAACAGAGGGAGACCCTGTCTTAAGAAAAAAAAATTTTAAAGGAAAAAGAAACAATTTAATCAATGTGGTCCTAAAACTATTATGTAGAATACTATTGTCTACATCATATTACATCAGTTCTTTAAATGGCTTAACACTTATTTAGGTATGATACGTAAAGTTTTCCTGGTAATTAAGTACACTTAAGAACAATTAAGTATAACAGAGTTACTGTCTTGACAGGAAGATTGTAAAAACTTCAAAAAGACAAATAAAAGAGTCCAAACTGTAGCTCTGTTAGGCTCAAATAACATTAATTCAAGTCACAATGAACATCTAGCCATCATTCTGAACACCATATAATTGACTTAATACATTTTGCCTGAACGCCCAACACATCTGACTTACCGACACCTGTATGTAGCCAAGAAATTGACAATCATTTATAAATTATCACCTATGACTCCATCTGCTCTACCCACCTTTTAAAAATCATTTATTTATTTACTTTTATTTTGTAGAGACAGGACCCCACTATGTTGCCCAAGTTGGTCCAGAAACAGACCCACACTAATTTCATACATCAGATGACCATACAGCCATCCAATTTATGAAAACAAAGTGCCATACAGTGCAGAAGGGCAAGAATGGTCTTTTCAATATATGGTGCTGCATCAAGCAGTCACATCCATGTAGTAAAAAGTGAATCATAGCCACGTGGGATGGCTCATGCTTGAAATCCCAGCACACTGGGAGGCTGAAGTGGGCAGACTACTTGAGCCCAAGAGATTGAGACTAACCTGGGTAATATGTTGAATCCTCATCTCTACAAAAAATAAAAAAATTAGCTAGACAATGGTGGTGCATGCCTATAGTCACAGCTACTCAGGAGGCTGAGGTGGGAGGATCACTTGAGCCAGGAGGTAGAGGTTGCAGTGAGCTGAGATTATGCCACCACACTCCAGCCTGGGCAGTAGAGTGAGACCTTGTCTGAAAAATAAATGCATAAACTAAAATAAAATTGCTATAAGGTTAACACAGAAAAATGTGTTCCTTTTCTTAGGTTAGGCATTGGTTTTTTGAACAGGACACAAAAAGCAGTAACCATAAAGGAAAAGATTGATAAAGTATAATTTTATTAAATTTAAGAAACTCAGCCTGGGTGCAGTGGCTCACGCCTGTAATCCCAATATTTTGGGAGGCCAAGGCAGGTGTATCACTTAAGCTGAGGAATTCCAGACCAGCCTATGCAACATGGCAAAACCTCATCTCTTCTAAAAATATAAAAAAGAGTTGAGCATAATGGTGCTCCCCTGTAGGTCCCAGCTACTTGGGGGCTGAGGCAGGAGGCTCAACTGAGCCTTGGGAGGTCCAGGTTGCACTGAGCTACGATTGTGCCACGGCACTCCGGCCTGGACAACAGAGTGAGATCCTGTCTCAAAAAGAAAGAAAACAATTAGAGAATCTCCATTCATGTAAAAACACCATTAAAAGAGTGAAAAGGCAAGCTACGGTTTGAAAAAAGAGAAATGTAATACATATGTTACATTTATATCCTAGAAAGGACACATATCCAGAATAAAGTATTACAAATCAACAGAAAAACAAGCATATCAATGAAAACAGGATACAAAGATTTAACAGGCACTTCACAAAAGAAGATATATAAATGGCACTAAAAAAATACTCAATCTCAATACCAGGAAAATGCAAAATGAAACCACACTGATCTATTATAGCACCTCTACTTGAATGGCAAAATAATTTTTAACTGACAAGCATCAGCAAGGATGTGGAGTAACTGGAATATTCCCTGCTAAATGGTACAACCACTTTGGGAAAATGTTCAACAATATCTGATACTGAAGTTTTATCATTCATATACCTCTAAAGCCAACAATGCCACTCCTACATATATACCCCGTTAGTAATGTTGTATTTCTTGATCAGTGGTAGTTCACTCAGTAAAAATTCATTACCCATACTTTTTTCTTTTCTTTTTTTTTTTTTTAAGAGAAGGCGTTTCACCATGTTGGCCAGGCTGGTCTCAAACTTCTGACCTCAGGTGAGCCACCCGCCTCAGTCTCTGAAAACGCTGGGGTTACAGGCATGAGCCTCCACTCCCAGCCTCTGCCATCCAGGCCAGAGTGCAATGGCATGATCACGGCTCCCTGCAATCTCAACCTCCTGGGCTCTGGTGATCCTCCCACCTCAGCCTCCCAGGTAGCTAGGACTACAGGCACACACCACCACACACAGCTAATTTTTGTATTTTTGTAGAGATGGGGTTTTGCCACATTGCCCAGGCTGGTCTGGAACTGCTGGACTCAAGTGGTCTGACCACCTTGACCTCCGGAAGTGCTGGGATTACAGGTGTGATCCACCATGCCCGGACCACACGCACATTTAAAATTGTGAGCTGCTTCTGTAGACTTCAGTAACTTTTCAAAAATTTCTTGGACAAAAAGTTCTCAGAAATCTTTTTTTTTTTTTTTGAGACGGAGTTTCACTCATGTTACCCAGGCTGGAGTGCAATGGCGCGATCTCGGCTCACCGCAACCTCCGCCTCCTGGGTTCAGGCAATTCTCCTGCCTCAGCCTCCTGAGTAGCTGGGATTACAGGCACGTGCCACCATGCCCAGCTAATTTTTTGTATTTTTAGTAGAGACGGGGTTTCACCATGTTGACCAGGATGGTCTCGATCTCTTGACCTCGTGATCCACCCGCCTCGGCCTCCCAAAGTGCTGGGATTACAGGCTTGAGCCACCGCGCCTGGCTCAGAAATCTTAAAGCTGGCATTTTAGAATAGAAAAAAACTACTTCTGGTTCACTGGTGAAATTTTACTAGTAAAATTTAAAAACAAAAAGAAAGCAACTAACGCATATCAGCTCAGAACAGAGACTTAAAAACTACCAGCAGATCACTTTAACTTGGTCAAGCTCTACGAGTCATTCCTTCGGCAAAGAAAGGATGGACAACACTGTAACCCAAAGAAAAGATGGCACTGCAGGAAAAGACTTCCTGTGGGAAGCAGCTTTACCAGCAAAAGACAGGAGGAAAGGGAGGAAACCATTCCAAAAGTCCGGCTTGACTCTTCTGTGAGAGGATGCCAAATGAGATGATCTAAGAAGCCACAAAGACAGACAGACAGACACAGTGAAACCACAGCAGCTCTTTTGAGGGCAAACAGCAACACCACAATCCAACCTACTGGAAACGCTGCGATTAATCTGAGCTTGCCCGGTTAGTCCTGAGGTGATTCACTGACGGCTGCACACGCTCCTCTAGTGCATCCTGGACCCGGCACACCTGGCTTGCTCGCCACCAGCCTGGGGACAGCGCCAGGCGCGGAATCCCGGTGGCCAACTTTGCAAGTCAGGGGCCAGAGCAGTCTCGCCCCGCAGGTCCCCAGAGGGAACCGATTTCTGGCCTCGAAGGTGAGGCGCAGGGTCAGCGTCCCCCACAGGATTTACAAGGACCTGCCCCCAAAGCTGCCCGTCCCTGCACCCCCTGGGATGCCACAGGAAGCCCCGCCCGCGGGTTTCTTACCCCGCTCCCCCCAGAGGGCGGGGGGCGGCAGCGGCCGGCGAAGAATCGAGCGCAGGAACAGGCCCGGGCAGGGCGGCGCTCCCACCCCGCGCCGCAGCAAAGCTTGCTGTATCCCCGCGCGCCGACCCAGTTGTGCACCCACGTGTCCAACACTCACCGTCCGCCCGACCTGGGGGCGCCCTCCCCTCGGAAACGCTGGTGGACTTCACCCAAAACGTTAACGTCCCACGGAGAGGGCAGCCGCCCGGCAGGGCCTCCGCCTGCTCCTGGCTCCGCGGATCGCCCTCCTGGCTTTTAAACATGCATCGCGCTCACTCAGAAACTCAGGCGCCCAGGGACCCGCACCTGCCCCCGCCTCCCCCGCACCGCCGTCTCAGCCGCCGCCA